AGAAACCTGGTATCTATTTGTATATATGCTAAATTTTTTTAAAAGACAAGAGTTTTGCTCTTGTTGCCCAGGCTGAAGTGCAATCGTGCAATCTTGGCTCACTGCAGCCTCCGCCTCCTGGGTTCAGGCAATTGTCCTGCTTCAGTCTCCCAATCCTATCACCATGCCCAGCTAATTTTTTGTATTTTTAGTAGAGACAAGTTTTTACCATGTTTGACAGGCTGGTCTCAAACTCCTGACCTCCAGCGATCCACCCACCTCGGCCTCCAAAACTGCTGGGATTACAGGCGTGAGTCACCGCACCCAGCTTTTTTTCCCCCTACAAGAAGGAGTTTTGCCCTTATTGCCCAAGCTGGAGTACAATGATGCGATCTCGGCTCACTGCAACCTCCGCATCCCAGGTTCAGGCAATTCTCCTGCCCCAGCCTCCCGAGTAGCTGTGCGTACAGGTGTGCATCACCACGCCTGGCTACTTTTTGCATTTTTAGCAGAGACGAGGTTCATCATGTTGGTTCAGGCTGATCACGACCTCCTGACCTCAGGTGATCCACCTGCTCTGGCCTCCCAAAGTGCTGAGATTATAGGTGTGAGCCACCATGCATGGCCACCCAGCTCTTTTTTTAAAATAGAGAGTCTTGCTCTGCGGCTGAGGCTGAAGTACAGCAGTACAATCATAGCCCACTACAGCCTCATTACTCCTGAGCACCAACAATCCTCTCATCTCAGCCTCCCAAGTAGCTGGGACTACAGGTGTGTGCCACCACACCATTTTTTAAGATGGGGGATATCGCTATGTTTTCCAGGCCAGTCGTGAGCTCCTGATCTCAAGCGATCTTCCCACTTGGCCTTCCAAACCACTGGGACTACAGTCCCAGGTCCTTGGGAGGCTGAGGCAGGAGAATCATTTGAACCCGGGAGGCAGAGGCTGCAGTCAGCCAAGGTTGCAGTGAGCCGAGATTGCGCCACTGCACTCCATCCTGGACAACAGAACAAGACTCCATCTCAAAAATAAATTAATTAATTAATTAAATAATAGAATTAAAAAAAAAAAAAAAAACGAAATTGACTAAGCCACCTTCTACTTTCCTCTGTGATGTGGTTTCCCATCACCTTCAAGATAAAATGCACACTTCTATCATAGTAAGCCAGTCCACTGATTCTGGCCCATCTACCTACCCTCTACCTACCCTCTACCTACCCTCAGTTCTAAATGTGCTGAAATATGTACAACTACCTTGAAGTACCCTATTTTCTCAAACCTTAAGGCTTTTATGTGTTGCGACCACTCCCTGAAAACCCCATCCTCCTGCACTCAGCTGAAGAACTCATACTCAACTTTAAAGACTCAATTCAAATGCCCTTTTCCACAGAAACATTTCCTGAGATCACCAGGTAAGTCAAAGGCTCTATTAACACAGCTCATTAGATAGTAAGTCCCCTGAGGATGAACAATATACTGTATTTGTTTGTATTCTTAGGACCCTGCACCTAATCAAATTCTTAACATTTGCTGACCTCAAATCAGTGGAGAAAAAGGAGCCCTTTTGAATAAATTTTTCTGGTATAACCAGATAACTACAGGAAAAAAACATAAAAATGAATCTGCCAGTTCTCACACTAACTGCCAGGGTAAATCCTAAATAAATCACAGAGTTAAACGTAAAAATAAGGTTGGGCATGGTGACTCATATCTGTAATCCCAGGAATTTGAGAAGCCAAGGTGGGAGGATCACTTGAGCCCAGGAGTTCAAGACCAGCCTGGGACCAGGTGCAGTGGCTCACACCTGTAATCCCAGCACTTTGGGAGGTAGAAGCAGGTGGCCAAAGTGCTGGGATTACAGAGTCTTGCTCTGTCACCAGGCTGGAGTACCACGGCACGATCTCCACTCCCTGCAACCTCTTTCTCAGCCTCCTGAGTAGCTGGGATTACAGGCACGTGCCACCACACCCAGCTAAATTTTTTGTATTTTAGTATTTTTGTATTTTAGCCCAGCCTCTCAATTATATTTGAAAGATCAGTAAGTTGTTCAACAATTTAGTAATAAACAATAGTCCCCATGAGAAAAGGTCTAGGCAGCCAGGCGCAGTGACTCACGCCTATAATCACAGCACTTTAGGAGGCCATGGCGGGTGGATCACCAGTGGTCAAGGGTTCGAGACCAGCCTGACCAACATGAAGAAACCCCACCTCGACTAAAAATACAAAATTAGCCAAGTGTTGTGGTACATGTCTGTAATCTCAGCTACTCGGGAGGCTGAGGCAGGAGAATCGCTTGAACCAGGGAAGCAGAGGTTGCATGAGCCAAGATCAAGCCACTACACTCCAGCATAGGCAACAAGAGTGAAACTCCATCTCAAAAAGAAAAACAGGCCTATTTATCATAGGTTCATACAGGCAGCTAACAGCAGGCTGGAAAAAACAAAAACCAAAATTAATGAATTAAATTAAAAGACAAAAATTATGAGAAAACGTATGACAGACAATTCCTGAAAATCTAATAATTATAAAACCAGGAGTTCAAAAACATAAATAAAGGAGTATAAGATGGCATAGGTTGGGCACAGTGGCTCACACCTGTAATCCCACGGCTTTGGGAGGCCGAGATAGGCGAATCACTTGAGTTCAAGACCAGCCTAGCCAACATAGTGAAACCCCATCTCTATTAAAAATACAAAAATTAGCCAGGCGTAGTGGTGCATGCCTGTAGTCCAAGCTACTCGGGAGGCTCAGACAGGAGAATCGATTGAATCTAGAAGGCGGAGGTTGTAGCGAGCAGAGATCACTCCACTGCGCTGCAGCCTGGGTGACAGAGCAAGACTCTGTCTCAAAGTAAATAAATAAAAAAAATAAATATAAATATAGCAGAGATGGGCTGGGCAGAGTGGTTCATGCCAGTAATCAAAGTGCTTTTGGAGGCCAATGTGGGAGGCTCGCCTTGAGGCCAAAAATTTGAGACCAGCCTGGGCTACACAGCAAGAGCCCATCACTACAGAAATTTAAAGTCACTCACACATGCATGGTGGCACATGAGAGTAGTCCCAGCCTCCTGGGAAACTGAGGTGGAAAGATGGCTAGACCCCAGGGGTCAAGGCTGCAGTGAGCTGTGATCACACCACTGCACTCCCGCCTGGGCAACAGAACAAGTCCCCGTCTGTGCACAAAAAAATAAAACACACAATTGCAAGGACACCAAAATTATATTCTCACACAAGTTCAGGAGGGTATCACCTACAAAACACAAAAATTCCACAAAACAGGCCAGGCTGGTGGCTCACACCTGTAATCCCAGAACTCTGGTAGGCCAAGGCAGGCGAATCACGAGGTCAAGAGATCGACCCATCCTGGCCAAAATGGTGAAACCACGTCTCTACTAAAAACACAAAAATCAGCCAGGCATGGTGGCACATGAATGTAATCCCAGCTACTCAGGAGGCTGAGGCAGGTGACTCGCCTGAACCCGGGAGGCAGAGGTTGTGGTGAGCCCTGATCACACCATTGCACTCCAGACTGGGCAACAGGAGCAAAACTCCATTTCAAAAAACAAAAATCCACAAAACAGTATTCTAGCCAGAAGACCTGTATCAGGAGAAAACATGGAGAAGACTTGGTACAGCAGAGAGAATACGGAACTGCAACATAGTAAAATATTGTTAAGTCTTCACAATCACTACTGCAGCATTTAATGCAAATGTTACATGCCTCCTCAAAAAGAAGCTTCCTACAGTTAAAAAGTATTCTGTAACTAAAATCCTGTTGAGGTTTTTTTTTTTCTTTTTAAATTCTATATGCTAGCAGCAGCAAAGGAAAAAGCTGGACGTTGCACCTGAAAGCAACTGAGGATGCCCAAATAATTATAAGTTGATGTACTTACAGGGAGTTTAGTGAAGGCCGGGTTGGTGACGTGCTTCCCAAAGGCATCTTCCTGGAACTGAAGAAGCTGTACTACCAGCCCAGCCAGCGTTTTATTGGTAGGAGCATCCGCATGAACGTACTGCAAGATAAAGACAGGCATCCAGAAACTAGTATCATTTTTGCAGGCGAAAATGTTGGCTTACTTCCTAGTAACTACTAAGTACTTACACTGTGGTAAATTTATATATGTCTGAGACACACTCTGTGCTATAAATGAGCTTACAAAAACACATACATTTTTTGAGACAGAGTCTCACTCTGTCGCCCAGGCTGGTGTACAATGTCTCAATCTCAGCTCACTGCAACCTCCATCTCCCACCCCAGGTTCAAGCGATTCTCCTGCCTCAGCCTCCAGAGTAGCTGGGATTACAGGCACCTACCATGGCGCCTGGCTAATTTTTGTATTTTTAGAGACAGGGTTTCAAGATCTTGGCCAGGCTGGTCCAAACTCCTAACCTCGTGATCCACCCGCCTCGGCCTCCCAAAGTGCTGGGATTACAGGTATGAGCCACTGCGCCCGGCCACATGGTGCATTTAAAAATGGTTAAAATAGTAAATTTTTCTTTTGAGACAGAGTTTCACTCTTGTCACCCAGGCTGAAGTGCAGCAGCGCAATCTCAGCTCACTGCAACCTCTGTCTCCTAGATTCAAGCAATTCTCCTGCCTCAGCCTCCCAAGTAGCTGGGATTACAGGCATGCACCACCACGTCCAGCTAATTTTGTATTTTTAGTAGAGATGGGTTTTTTTGTTTTTTGCTGTGGCAAAAATTTGAACTCCCATACAACATTTCAAGGTTAATGTGGTATGTTTCTATTACGATAATATTTTTTAGATGAGTAGTGTATGGCCAAATTACATCAGCTGCAGAGTCTTTAATTATTATGCATAAGACAAAGGGCATACAATTTCTGCTGCTACCAATGAAACATGCAGAATATAAAAAGGCAATCATTTACTTTTTCATTTTTGAAATGGGGTCTTCTTCCATCACTCAGCCTTGAATGCAGTGTAGTGATCGTGGCTTACTGCAGCCTAGACCTCTTGGGCTCAAGCAGTCCTCCCGCTTTAGCCTCCCAAGTAGTTGGGACTACACTACAAGTGCGTGCCATCATGCTTGGCTAATTTCTGTATTTTTTTTTAAGAGATAGGGTCTTGCTACGTTGCCCAGGCTGGTCTTGCGCTCCTGGGTTCAAGGGATCCTCTCACCTAGGCCTTAACAAAGCGCTGGGATTACAGGCCTTAGCCACAGCACCTTCCCAAGACAATCATTCTTAAATCTTATTATAGGCCGGGCGCGGTGGCTCAAGCCTGTAATCCCAGCACTTTGGGAGGCGGAGGCGGGTGGATCATGAGGTCAAGAGATCGAGACCATCCTGGTCAACATGGTGAAACCCCGTCTCTACTAAAAATACAAAAAATTAGCTGGGCATGGTGGC